GATAAATGTGTGGGTATTCTGAGTATTACGTTAATCACGGAGGAAAATTTTACGTTAATCTCAGAGGAATTCTAGTAATCACAGAGCACAATCGTAAGGTGTTTACCGTATGAACGCCGCTGACTCTCTCCCCCGTATTCTGACAAGTACACACTCGGACTGATGATACGTCAAATAGAGAATCCGCTATATTCAAATACTTTAAAACATGGTTGAACTAGTATATTTATGTCATGGTTCAACCATGTATTTATGTTATATATAGTAAAATAGTATAGTATACAGTTCAAACATGGTATAAAAATTTGTCTATCAACAGCAAGGAAGCCACAACAATTATTAGCATCGATTGCATCAATTGAAACTAAATAGGAAATGCAGAACGAAAGTTTGAGTTGTACATGATTGAACTTTATAAGGTTATCCCAGGAGGATTTCCGTATTTCAGTTCAGCTTTCTTGTTACGTCACTAAGAACGAGAAAGGTAAACAATCCTGTCATTCTCATGACGGATTAGTTGACTTGTTTGATCGCTTTTCAGTGATTGGTTAATGCCCGTGACGTCACTGAGATCAGTGACGTCACAGGCGAACAACGAACTATATCCGCAAAAATGAGCTTCTCATGGGTCAGCCTTATACTAGTTCAACCATGTGAGTTGTAGGCATCTGGTTAGATAATATTTGAGATTTTATTATTTCCTAACAGGGTTTCAATTTCTTGCAGAGGTGATCTGTTTTCAAACCATATTTTTCGCATAGCATGCGCAATTCGTTTGAAAAATTCAATGTAAAGCCCTTTCTTGAGACATCGGTATAGTATGCACATCACAATGAAGGTAAAGAATTCTTTTTATAAAATTTTTAATTCATGAATAATTTTGACTCATATATGCTCACTCAAGTGCCGTAACGATTAATACTATATTAACCATAAATTTCAAACAAAGTCGTTACCTTAAAAGTTTGCTAACAATCGAGTCTTTATATACATGTTCACTTGTAAGCTTCAAGCGTGTTTGTGTGAATAGAATGAGTTATAGTTCAGTGCTTCCCGAGCTTGTTTTTTCATTCCACAATTTGACTAGATTGAAATTTACACGCTCACCTGTACATGTGAATTCGACAATAACAATTACATTCTAGCTTTATTATATAAATTCAGAGCATTGAAAGAATATTACATTAGATTTCTAGTGAATTCTAGCCATCGTAAAATTTTTAGACACGCAACTCAATGCATCAATCATACGACTTGCTGAACTTACCGCTCTGCCACCTCGCCGACTCTAACAAACAATTTTTACAGTTAAGTGAGAGTATCAAACCAACACTTCACCGGTCCATTTTTTTGTAGCTTTAACCGTTAACCATTCGTCAAACATGCAAGAGTTCTTCATTTAACCAAAAGTACGACAATGGCGTTGTAATTCACAATCTATCAATTTTCATTTCAATAAACTGATGAGACTCGAAATGAATTATATAAACAAATAATGTTTTATTTGTGATCTTTGGAAATTAATCGCGAAATAAGGGTTGCCGGTATTCAAAATAATAAAGACCGAGATGAAAAATAGCAACTAGAATGCAAGACACACCTACTCGGACTTTCTCGCGGCCTCTAAAACACACTCTGAGGCAACAGATTAGAAAATAGACTCTATTTTCTCTATTTAATATCTTCCTCTATTTAATAGAGGAAGATATTAGGAAGAGAGGAAGATATTAGAGAAAAGAGGAAGATAAGAACTAACTAAACTTGTGGTGAGTAGTTGCCAGTAAAATAAGAGACGGGGAGCGCAGTCGTGCACCACCAATTTTGTGCACCAATAAGCCCTGAATCGAACGCCTTGGATCTCTCCTGTAGCAGTAAATCTGTGTTACTGCACCACAGCTCGTCGGGAAGTAACGTGGATGATTGAGTTTTTGTCTAATGATGCAATCAGAGGTGGGCAGTAGCGCGCTACATGTAGCGGCCGCTACACTTTCATGCAGGAGCGGTAGGGGCGCTACATTTATAGGTAAAGCCTTTAGATTTTACTTAATAGTAAACTTATTTTTATATTTCAATTTGCTTACGAATTGCGAGTAAATGTTACAGGTATCGTTTGTTATGTTTCAGTTTGCTTGCAGGTAAATGTTGCAGGTTTTTTATATTTCACTTTGCTTGCGACTGGCGAGTAAATGTTACATGTATTTTTTCATGTTTCAGTTTCTTAAAGTTATTTTTACACAGTTATTTTTGTGTTTCACCTTCCCAACATGGATGTCTACTTTAATCTACCAATCTCAAAAATTATCCACATATATATACACAAATAAAAGACTGATTTTTTATATGTATATGTGAATAATTTTTGAGATTGGTAGATTAAAGTAGACATCCAAGTAAGGAAGGTAAAACATAAAAAAGCTGTAACTTTTATTTACTGTATTTAACCCGTACTAGTTCGGTTAGGTTAATTGCAATAAAGTTGCATTGATGTTTTGAAAATGTTTTATTATCATTAAATGTTCATGAGTAAATCCAAACAATAGAACAATAAATATTTATAGATTTCCTATAATTTTGGTCATTGTAGCGGCTAATGTAGCGGCGCTACATTTTACTGTAGCGGTAGCGCCCGCTACAATCTAGTGGGTATAGCGGTAGCGGTAGCGCCCGCTACATTTAGAGCATGTAGCGGGAGCGGTAGCTGCCGCTACATTTCAAAGTAGCGCTGCCCAGCTCTGGATGCAATCAAGAGGTATTACAGAAACGATAGTTCGACTTGGAAAATTGGAAACTTGTGGAAATCGGGACATTTTTGCACAAAAAAATTCAGTATATCAAAATATAAAAGCGTTCTGTAGCCCAAACGAAGTTGACCTAGTCAGATAATGAAAACGAATTATTTGTTTTCTTTTGAAATTGGAGATCATCTTGATATACCTAAAAAGAGCACAGCTGTACTAGAAGCGTTTTCTTTTAATCGAAGCAAATAGAAGATGCAAATGCCTATATAACAAATGACATATTTTTAAAAGATGGCTTAAGCAGTTCTTTCTTTGATGAGCATTATTAGTTCAGTTTACAACTTAAGTGACATCAATAAAGGACATTCTTCATGGAAGATGCACCGAACAACTTGTAAATAAGATACGGGCAAAATAATGAGGTACGGCAATTATTCGGCTAAATTATTTAAGATCGAATCACACAAGGAATTGTGCTCAAGTTTCTACATTGAAATGAAGGTGTGCCCATTGACAGCCGAGCAAATTTTAAAGGAGCGTTCGAAAGTGGCCAGAATTTTCAATAACAGCAGCACTAACTGATTTCTAGTTAATAAAAGGAACGATCATGCATAATCTCCGAGTTACCGCTATACTGCTCTTCCAGAGCCTGAAATAAATCTGATTATAATTTAGATCAACAACAATTTAGCTAAATTTGTCAAAATTCAGAGAGAGAATTGATATCTACACTGAACTGATTGATGAATGATAACAAGTGCACAGCGATAAGAAAAAATTGGGATTGATATTTGAAAGAAACCGATCGCAGATATGAGGCATATAGAAAGCTTTTAAAAAGCGGAATGACTAGTAACAAAAAATTTGATTACGTTGAATAATTAAGCAGACATTTATTATGGAAAATCCTAGTGATTTATCTCTTCTTATGAAATCATTGCAAAGAACGCTGCACAGATCGTCCGTGACGCACCGAGCGGCCGCAGCAGGAGCTTGCGAGTTGATCCTCACCATCGCGCAGCGAGGCCTCAACGTCGACATCGTGTGCCCGAGGTGTCGATATTCTCCTCTGCATCTCGCTGCAGCTTTTGGCCACGTCCAGGCCGTGTATTTACTCTGCAGATTGGGAGCTGACATATCAAAAACCGGAATGGTGAGTCGCATCCATCGCTAACACCAGTGATTATTTATGAAGTTAACAAAGATATATCAATCGTTTAGTCAGACGATGTAATACAAGTTAATAAGGCAGAATTATGAGGAATGGTTATAAATGTAATTTTTTGAGCTAGTTTAGAGAAAGAAAATAGTTCATTATTTTTTCTCTTCTCTTTGCGTGCGTGATAATCTATTCAAATTGTTTTTCACGTTTTTACTTGTTTGAAAAAATTGTTTAAATAATTACAAAATAAAAAAACCGAGCGCACCGATAAAAAAAATCAGATTTGGCTCAATATTTTGCTCCGCTGGCCAATTTATTTTACTATTCTATTCAGCTATAAGGTTAATGATAGATAATCTTTGTATCAATAGGGATGTCTGAGCGCATTGGGAATGGCTGCTCGGTGTGGGCATGGAGACGTGGTCCAGGTGCTGTTGCTGTGGGGGGCAGGCTTCCAGCAGGAACACATGCTTCTATCCGCGGTGTACAAAAACTGCGGACCGCCAACCACCATCGCAATAATATCTCACGGCGCACTGAAATATACTGGCAAATGGGAACTTCACAAAGTTCTGGCCGATGCGTGCCTTAAAAACGAGACATCATTGGTCTCGGTGCTTTTAAGCTGCGACGTTTGCATCGATTTTGAGTTTACCGACAACGATGACACCGTTTTTTCGTTCAGGAATAGAATGAAATTTTCCCCAGCTATTCAAAGGATGTTGTTCGAGTATCAGATGAAAGTTATGGAGCCCCAGACGCCTGTCCCCATGAAAGGCTGGAGTGCCGTGCAGAAGAGACATCATCGACGAAGCAGATCTTTTTAAAAGAATAGAAATAAAATGCAATATTGAGCGTAGTTATAGTTATGAATCGAATTTCGTGATGTAAAGACACAGAATAAAATCCATGAAGAAAAAAAAGTGTGAAAAATCATTATTCCTTATTTTGTTGCACATTATTTTAATACACCAGTGCAAGCATCGGACTCACCGTAGATAGAAGAATTTTTGGGTGCAATTGCACCAAAGAAACATCCACTCTTCAACGCCCTGAAGGTAAATGAGATAAGAAGAAGTGTCCGTCTCAAGCATCAGTATTTATCTGGTTTATTGCGCCGTTAATAAGAAATTGTGGTCGGCAGGTCGAGTTCTGCCAGGTGTCGTGGATATGCCAGAGACGTTCCGTGGGAAACGCTTCAAGTTGGCCTAATGTAATCTCGATGGCGTCACGCGCCCTCAAACTAATAATTTCTTCATATTAGGGCAGACGAATTTGATAGTCTTGGGTTCGTTTCATGAGCTCAAAGATACGTATGTTTTTAAAATAAAATAAATATTCATTTGCAGGAGTTAATCACGTTTCCAGATCATCGTAAATTAATCGGGACGGTACTAAAAAATATTTTAATCAATAATTGTATATGGGTATGTGTATGTTGACCTAAATTCAAGAATTATCATGTATGTTAATACTATACGACTATAAAAAATATCATCAATGGTTTAGAAACGAAAATTCGTTGTTCTCGCCGTTAAGCTTGCGGATTTATTTATTTTTTCAAGATAGAAATTACTTAAACATTTAAACCACATTTTAATTTTTTTATAAAAAAATCGACTGTCATCACTTTCAATAAATAATCTTACAGTATTAGAAATCGAAGATAATAAAATTTTATGCGTGCTTAAAAGAAACATTAGCGACAAATTCTACTATTTATCATTTCAAGAGCTTTACAATGTTGGAACTGGAACAATACAGACCGTCACACAAGTATTTTGCCCACAGTAAAGCTAGTCGGGTGATGGTATGTGTAAATAATTATAATTAGTGCATGTCGTCAAATTGTAGCTTCACAATCAGAATTAATTACCAGAACGTTGAAATTTTATGCCTGCTGTGAATCGATTGATTTGTGTTCCATCTTCGGAGCGCATCCGACGTAATAAATTGATCAATTCGGCAGTTTCTGTCATTACAATCATGAATTGTGAAATCAATACTTAATAGCCAGATGTTCATGCACTTCTTTGACCAATTATATACGTGCATTATCGTATATTGAAATACTCATCTATGTTTATAGAAATTGGATCATTGCTAAATGTTTAATCGAAAAGAAATTAATGCATAACAGAATAATAACACAAAACAATAAGGTTTTGATGCACTTATTAATAACGGATAATAATTACTGCGATAAATTTAGTGTAGAATTCTTCTCAAAAGTTTGAATCAAATATAAGTCCATACCATGATCTCATTTATCGAAAATTGACAGGATCGAGGACTTTTACGCGGGATTGAACTTAACATGAACATATGAGAATGATATCATGGTTTAGAAAAAACAATTTGTTGTAAATTTTATAATTGTGAGTATAGTTATCCCTAATATATAAGGACTATTAATCATTGCTATCTCTCATTTTTTTAAATGATGACTTCCTTATACTGATATAATTTTTCTTTTATTGATCCGTTAAGCAATTCCGTAACAGTCAAATTATTTTTCATGTATGCGATATGTGCCAATTGAATATACAAACTTAGTATGCGTAGACTCCACCAAGTCTCCAATGATTCCCGCCGTCACTTTGGAATTTGCACCAGAAGTGGTACTGTCACAATATCGTATTTTGCTGACCACGCAAATATAAAATGATAAAATAGGTGTCAAGCATGAGAGAGCTTACTTACATGTCGGTCACTTTATTGCCAAATCAGTCGAGTCATCCTACCAAACTATGATAACTTCTGCACCTTTCAGGCTGCCAGGTGTCCTCATGAGTACCGGCCAAGTAATATAATTTTCTGACCGATAATTAATAAAAAAAAAGCCTGAACTCTATCGACAGGCTGCGTGAACTCAAGCTTCGGTAAAAAAAATATTTTCAATAAAAGAATGACCCTAAGCTGACTATTAGTGTACTCTTTCACCTGTGCTTTCTCGTCCGTGCCAGTGAAAAGAAGAGTTAATAATTGATTAGGTGTAGATGATACTCCAATATGTTCCCACGTTGGCCCTCGTAACGAAGGTGAGTTGCACATGTCACGGATTCGCTAACTCGATTCAAAAGTATATAATGAGGGCATTGTATGGCCCAGCCCACAGACAATTTCAGCTGCTAACGTTACCCTGACTCGAGCGTAAATTACTTCATGATGGCAGCTTCCAAAACGTTATCATCCGTTCTGGTCTCGTTTACGATTCTAAGTTGCCTGAGCCTCTATGCAAAGGCAACGGAATATCAAGATTGCGGTGAGTTTATGCGGCCCAGGTAATACGTGTATTACCTCATGCGTACCAATCAAGCGTATTTCGCAAAATTGAAATACAACTCACTTCGTCTACATTAGATGTCGTTTCGGCACCAAAATCGACAAGTTCCTTGGAACAAAACTTTTCGGCACATGAGACACTAAAATTTTGATTCTGGCCCAAAATTAATATATTCTAGATTTAACAAGAAAAACATATTATATTATTCTGATTTATAGCATTGCATTGTTATATTTAAAAATGTATTTTGAAATATCTCTCTTTGAAGTAATCACTTCTATATGACGAAATGAGCCTTCAACAGCTAAATTAAAAGCTAGAAAGACAATGACTTAAAACAATTTTACAATTAGCTTTCCGAGAAACAGTCCATGTAACTCGGTCTCAAAATTAACTGTAATTCAAGCAATGTAAAATCATAAAGTTTGTTTTATTCGGCAGGTTCTGCGGGACAGGTTTTGTCAGTGGACCTGACTGGGTGCGACCTCCCGCCATGCATTGTCGCGCGGCCGAATAACTACAGCATCGGCATAACCTTCGTCGCCGGTAGGTTGCAGAGATGGAAGCAAGGGACAGACATAAGGCTGGAAGATGTAATATTTTGTATAGAGTGCTTCATTAATTCAGGGACATTTATAAAGACTTAGGAAGGATGAGGAGCTTGTTTTTGTTCTAATACGTATGTACGTCAAGCCAATGAGAGCACTAGTATAGATGAAAATCATATTATACTGATAATGTTTTTAAAAATACTGCTGAAATCTTGCTTGAGAAACTGGCACAGATTTTATGACTGATGCTTCAATGCTACGATCACAAAATATTAAATTTAAGGCTGTGGCAGTAATCCAAAACTATGATTTACACAATCAGCAATGACTTTGTTTGGATAACAAATCATTAAAATCACAGAAGCATATTGAAGTGTCTGTTCATATCTAGCCTGCTTACATTTCGTTGAACATACAATAACTGAAAAATTTAAAATTAAAGTATACTTAGGCGAATGGCGGTACATAATACAATAACTAAAAAATGTAAAAGGATTCAATATGCTGTAAAAATGTAATAAATTTTGTATTACAGCCAAGGACGCCCAGTCGTTAGACACGCAGCTGATGGTGACGGTGAGCAGCTCAGAGCAGGTGCCCTGGCCGGCACCCAGCGCCTGCGGTCTCATGGGGGACAAGACTTGTCCCATCACTGAGGGCGAGACCTACGCATACGTCCTCACCATGCAAGTCAGGCCCGAGTACCCGCAGGTTAGAGATTTAACGATAAAACCTATAATAGAAACCCTCTAATTTACATACAATAAATAAGCATTTAGCTATATAGGCTATAGTGGGTACCTATAGTAGAAACCCGTTAATTTCCAATTAATAAACGCTTAGTTATACAGGTGAAAACGGGATATTTGCACATTGTGTCAGGCGGGAACGAAAATTGAAACTTCTTTTCCGAAGCTCTTGAAAATAATTCTGTTGGATGGGCAGAATAAACTTTTGTGAGGAAAATATCGAGCAATGATAGAGAATATTCTGAATTGGTGGTGTAAAACTATGGCCAATACAATACTCAAAAATTTCAAACCAATGTAAATTTGCTTTAATTCAGCTGGCAGAATTGTCAGTTTTTAGTAGTCGCAGCGTAAAAAAAATATTTTTACAGAATCCAACGGTACTAATTATAAACTTAAATGAGATAATCTAGATCGGTGACGATGTTTACACTGAAATAATCCCCGAAATTTCAAAAAGTTAATGAATTGTAAGTAAATAAATATTGCCATTGGACGGCTTGCAACGAGCAGATCGCCGTTCTGGTCGCCACGAGTCTGGTCGACGAGGACGGTGTGGTGCACGCGTGTGTGGAGCTCCCCATCACCGTCGTGTGATGAAGCAGCAATCAACGAAGAAACGACAGGCAATATGTTACACCATATGCCACATCATATTATGACAAACGACCAGTCATATTATGATGAAAGACCAACCATTTTATGATGAGAGACCAACCATATTATACTTAGAAACCAACCGTATTATGATGAGAGACTAACCACTTTATGATGAAAGACCAACCATATTATGATAAGCTACCAACCATATTATAATAAGAGATTAACCATATTATGATGAACGACTAACCATTTTATGATGAACTAACCATATTATGCTGAGAGACCAATCATGTAACAGTGCTAAAATCTCATCACAATTAGTCAAACATTGAGATGGTACGCAACTATCTTTTTGTTTCGGCTAAAAAATTAGTGAATTCCAAAGTTTTCTCAACATCAATTATTTTAATAGTACTCATAGATGCGTATAAAACAGATATAATAATACTAATCAAAGTTGCCACTTCGAAAATGAGTTGACTGATTGATTAAAAATAGCTGCAGCTCAATGTAATTAGACTGCAAAAATGCATTCAAGCAAGAAATCATTAGAAGTAAAAAATTACGAGTGGTAAGGACGTAGATCGCTAGAATATACAATTAAGGAGATGAAGAATTTGCAATTTATTGAACCTAGTAAACTAAACCACGTGCGTAAGCTCAGGTAATATTTGTACGCTATCGCTTAAATGAATCTTAATAATTTTAAGTAAATAATTTTGTGAGTATAATTTATTGTCCCGTTTACTGAAGAAATATAAAAGTTTTATCTCGACTAATGGCAATCGATCGTAAAGCTTCAATTTAGTTCAGCAATAATGAAAGAAATACAGTACAGTCCTTATTAATTGCGCAAGCTTTGGTTATACTTTGCCATCTCTGTTTGAGAGTGAACAACTTATTGTGAAATAACGCAGGCCGAATTAACGACGTATATATTGACCAAATAAGATAGATGAGGCGGGTTACATCGGTATTAAAATGCGAATTTATAGGTGTTTTCGTTTAGATGCCTACATTTGAGATGTCATAAATTAAAATATAGAAATAGTTTTTATTTTTGCCCGAAAATGCAATGTAAAAACAGATGAAAATGTGAGCATCTTCTTCCTCGTAGAAAAATTTAGCTTGCACACTGAAATTAAGCTAAGGCTAAAAACGAGAGCGATACGATACCGAGCTCGACAGGGTTTAGTATGACCTTATGTCGTCGTTCTAATGGAGAGGCTCATATCACAAATCTAAAGATAAACATTGAAATTTCGGGCTGCTATTAACTTAATTTTGTCCTTATTTCTCCTTATGCTACGTGATTATGTATAGTTTTACGTCAGCGCCGGTATCATCATTACATATTTGTCACGGCTGCTTCTTGCGGCTGTAAATGTTAGGTATGCACCTCATAAATTTGTTCGTTATTGTAATCATCTTAATCAAAGTTCTTTGATTCGTTCCAAAGGTCTAAGTGAATTTCTTTTTGGTTTGGTAATATTATTTCTTATCATAACTCGAAGTATCGCAAATAAAATTGGGAAATTGTTTAAATCCGGTTTTTTAGAAAAAATGCATAAGCGTATTCGCACCATTTTTTAACATGAGTATTTGCATGATTAACTTGACTGTACAACGTTGTTTGTGCAAAAGTAAATTTTTATGAATATCCGAATATCCGTGTTACTAGGTTTTGTCCATGTTCGATGTAAGGCTGAGTGCAGAAACTGTAAATTGATCGTCAGACGGAATTGATTCGCTATATGGTAATGCCAGAATTCAATTATAAATATTCACTTTACAATATAACCCTTAATAATGGCAATTTTTACTTCAAGTTGACAATTTACAGCGTGCTTCCTACTGAACTGATATAACACCCTATTCTAAAACACGATTACAAGGCCCATGTCCCCAATTTTTAGTAATCTTCGGAAGCCAGAATTAAATTTTTTGTCACCGCAGCACACGCGCAGGTTTCATTTCGACGTGCAGTGTCTTGCGGTCGCCGCGGGGCGTAATCACAAGATCAAAAAGCTGTCGCCTGGGCACAGTTTTTGCAAATTATTGAAACGATCGCTAAAAGTTGCCAGTCTCCCATATAGATGCCTCTGGCGATGCAGTGAAACGAATTATTGACCCAATAATGCAGTTTTACTCCCATTGAATCGTGTCGAGGAAAATTGATATTCGTGCACTTAGTTTCGACCAAGAATACAAAGAATCAACAGCACTAAAAATTTGATTTTTTCCTCTGCATATACATAAAGATTTATATATTTCACCCACAGCTAGCCATTAAATTTCAGAAATATAAAAAAAACCTACAAGAGGGAATCCAGTTTTTTCGAACACGTATTTCTCGGTCACTTGAACGTCAGTTGACGGTGCTTTCTCCGATGGATGGAAGTCTGCGATTTTCGTCGTTTCAGGGCATACTTGCAGTTTTCGTTTTCACTGCAAACTGAGAGTTTAGAGCAAGGCAATAATCGTTGAATTATTCACACATCCAATAATCATTAGAGATAGTTTATGTGGCTCTGTTTAACCCTACTGGGAACTGGTGACCGGACAGAGACGAAGGAAATGATATTTTGCGAGGCAAACAAGTGCTTAACAGTTTTTAAATATTCCAACCGCATAAATTGAATAATATAATTCGTCGGTTATACTTAATTTCGTCTTCAGATTCCTTTTACGGGCACGATATGTACAACAACTTTTAGCACTCATTTTATTAACTTTCTATTCTCATTCCTTTATTCCACAGAAAAAATCTGTTTCCGGGCCTCTTCGTAGTAATTACGAGAACTTAGATCAGTAGGAAGTTGCTTGAGCAATCTACCAACTTTGCTGTGAATCCTGCTGCGGGCAAAATTAGTTAAGCTGTTGACGTTCAAAGAACACTGAAAACACGTTAGCTTCAATAGCCTCAAGTATTTATTTCGGAAAGTAGGAATAGGGTTAGCCATATTCGTGTAGGACCGGAATGTTAAATTAATTTTTGAACATAATTTCCTCGACAGTACTGGGCTCATAATTGTATATCATATTATGAAACATTTTAAGAGAACTATATGTAATTAACAGTGAATAAGAATTAAGTACTCATATTTTGAGCATCTACAAAATATATTGTACTATATTTTGGAAGGGTTGTTCATAAATGAATTTATTATCAATACTGAACGATCGTTTGCCACTAATATATAAGTCACTGCAGAATGTTATGTAGGGCGGTTCAAGCCAGCTGCGCTCAACTTTGGTCCTGACTTGTTTAGACCACGAGGTGACAACAACAGGTGTGCCGGCCAAGTTTAATGAGTTATGCCATGTTAAGGTGCGTTGCAAGAACAAGCACTCCCTGCCATGTTCCCCTTATTTGAGGTCGAAACTTAACGAGGTGTGTCGTCCACGTCGCCGCTGGAGAGCACGTCAGGTCAGTGTCGCTGTAAAATTGTCCGCGGTTGGACGGAACTTGGAACGCTCGCTGCTGTATGTTTGCTGTGCAAGTGAACCTTGTCGCCGACGCGCAAGTTGAAAGACTGTGTCACTCTGAAGGCCACGTGCAGTGCAAGCGTTAGCTCAGGAGTTACTTATTTTTGTGTATAACTTAGTTTTGGGGAGAAACGCAAGCGTACCGATGGGATGGGAATGTTTAAATAAATAAATAAAATTTTACGAAATGTTTGTATGTAAAATATTTTCTGTGTTTGAAGGGTTAAAATAAAAAAATGATTTATTTTATATGTCAGTGTTAATGCGTTTAGCCATTATTCATATTAACGTGTCTGATAATTTAGTAATGAAATCTTCGTTCTATTTGAACATATTTGATAATTTTACTCACATGTTATGGAGAGTGAACTGATCCTTATATCCCTACTTGCTGATTGATTCTGATTAAAAAGAATTCGGTCACCTCAGTCAAGTGAAAGAAACATATTACCAATTGATAACTGGTAATCAAACCTGATACTAATTCATGCCTGCAAAGTAAATAAATCCATCAAAACTAAGCTGCCTCACGTTTCAGAAAGTTTACACCTAAATAGTTTAATATTTCCGTTATTCGCTAGAAAAATATCGTGACGATGGCTCTACGGGGGGAGATCTTCTGTAATATATTGCGGTCAAATTCCAGTCTATTTACGAAACAGTAAAAATTAAACTTCACGTCACTACACTGAAATCTGACGATGATAATTAAAAATAGAAATATTGTAATGATAAAATTAGTAACAATTGTTATAATACTGATGATGGCAAAAACTGTTTAATTCTACCGAAAATGAGATCACTGTATGGGGGCCATATGTTGGTTATTCTGGGTGGACAAGGTTAGCTACTGGACTTGATTTAAATGTTAATATGTTGAATAATAATTCTTACCGAGGCATTTCGTAAATTATTTTACAATCGAACCTCATTGAAATGTTTAGATTGTCGATACATGAGCTGGAGGAATATCTTCAAATCACAGCGGGAGGAAAACACTTACTACAACTTTGTCCGCGTTTGTGTTTTGAGCTAAAATTTATTCTCAGTGGCGTCTCAAACGGCTAAGAAAGAGCAAGAGAATACGTTAGGGTGAGTCAAACAAGCAAACTGGTTTACCACTCGCGTGTTCATCTGACACAACATGCATTTCTAATCTTAGATCAACCACAAAAACTTAATCAGAAGAATTAATTATATCCTAAAACTTTTTAAGTTGGACAAATTTATGAAATTGAGGTTGATGTCGATTGGTGAACAGAAAACAAAATTGCGGAATCGAGACTTTTGGCACCGATAGTGTGTTCATTGAGTGTTTATTAAAATTTTGCTATAAATTTCCCATTATAATAAATATGACTTTTCACTAGCAGTTAACAATGGTCTTGAGGCGTCAGATTGAAACCGATAAAGATTTGGCATCAAATACGAGTTTGTGTTCTTCTTTCAGTGCTATTCCTACCTGAGTCGCGAATTAATTGGCAATAATAGTACATTGATTTTAGAACCGGTAGGCAAAGCAGGAAACATGTCCCTGAGGCAAATCATTTAACTTCTAAATGCTGATAAAAGCAAACATGAGTTTTATCTGACCTGTTGCCTCGTCTAGAGACTGATGAACGAATCATGTGTTTTTTTTCGCGGTATCACAGCATGCATGGGTGCTTACACCGGAGTTCTTTTCGGCGGTAGACAAAAAATCGAAAGAAAACGGCAAATAATTCTCATGTATTAAAAGTTGAGCTCCTCAGGAACCAATTTCGTGACGTTTGTCCTGCAGGTTTTGCAGGCCTTCGCTTAGGCGTGACGGTTACTTACTTTTACTTCTAAGGCGTGTTGCAATAACGCTCTTTGCGGTCACGTCCTGTCATTGAAGAGTTGAGTGGTCCGAATATACCATCATAAACATGTGTCTAAAGAGGTAATGAGCTGCTATGTAGAAACTTGGTGCTCTATTTACTGAAGTTAACTCTAGTTACCAGGTACGAGTATTTCGATACGAATAGCAAAGCTCATGACAATTTATCTATAGACGGATGGTGCTTTATCCATTGAAGGTAACTCTAGTTAGCTAGGCTAGAATGAATGCTGAAGCAATCTAATAGGCGTAAAATTGAACTAATATAGATAATATAGTATTATATTATAAGTAACATAGTATTTTATATGAAGTAATAGAGTATTTTTAATTATAACAATTTATTATTATTGCTTAAAAATTAACCGATTTCATTTCACCGTTATTTTTAATTTCCATATTAGTACATTCGAAATTGAGCTGATTTGAGAGAGAAGCAATTAATGCATATTACGCTAATTTTCAGATAGTAAATATTCTGTCTGCAAAATCATATATGAAGCGAGCATCAGAGAAATTACAATTCCTACTATCAAAGCGGGAACAATGTTGACACTCAGTGTATACATAGGACTGTGGTTCGTTGCCTTCTTCATTATTGAAAGAAATAAATTGATTATTTTGGAAAATGCTGATTAAATCCTTCTTATTATGATTAGTTTATTGTTAGATTTCCTCTTTAGTGTGGCCAACATTAAACGTGCATCCGGTTTGTATGATCATGTATTATATTCAATATATTGAGCTAGAATTCTATTCGAAATCTTATCCAAACGACGGTTGGTATAGCGAGTGTCTGCTTAGCGTCATCTAGCCATCATCAGCTTCTGAGTTACATGAGAGGTTTGGCTGTAACAAAGACTTCATCGTTCACTTCAATGAGACATGTGGTGTCAGGAGTGGAGGCATTTCCTGCCCAGGCTTTCATATTTCTGGTGGTAATTTTCCGTGATGTGCCTTCCCTGACAAGCTGTAAGCTCACCATTGTCTTGACCTCATCAGCAAGGCGCCCTGCATTAATGGTACCATACCTATTGTCTGTTGTTCTCAGTGAGTGTTGCTTATTTTGTTCGATTCATTATGGCAGATTCTGATTTCATTTCCTTTATTTATAGTGAAGTGGTGTTTCAAATAAAACTTGTAGCGTCTTTATATCTGGCCGAATTTTTTTCGTTTTATTTATATTACTTGAGAAATTGACTTAGCTTCATTTCTTCACGTCTCTTCTTCACGTCAATTGTTTTCCAGTATAAAGTTTCGATTATCCTATGGGAATAATTTTCTCAAGGTTAAATTTTCCGAAGAATTTCGTCTGATATTAGGAAGCTGTGCCGGTCAATGGACCGTGGGCAACGGGTAAAGTTGCGACCAGCACGTCGTGCACTCAGACAAACGCCTTCTTAGTCCACATCTTAGGTGGATCAGCTCCCACGCGCGCGATCTTGTCGGTCTGAGTGCAGGAAATTAATTGTTCTAAGATAGTGTCTCACAAGCGCGCTGACATCCGAGTGACTAACATTGCACCGTGTGTCGGCCGAGGATGAACAGGAGGGGTGTGCAGCCGTAGACCAGCAAATTAACGCTCAAATCAGCCCTGGAGCCAACATGGCAACATCAACCATCTAAATGCTATAGATATTGTCATCCTGGCACCTAAGCAGCTGTAGTCAATTGACCTATCTCAACAACACGAACTTTAAACCACCCAACAGAAGGACAATCCTAACTAGGAAAAGTGTTTTGATTACAACCTTTATCCATCTTCAAATGAAAACTGAATGATATTTTGATATTTCCTAAACAATTTTTGCTTCACTACATCCTTATTATGACAGCTCAAGAATTACTATCATGGGTGCTACTAGCAGGGTTGCAGGGCCGGTTAGACTGCACTCATATTACGACCATGCCTGTTTAGTGTCACTTAGGAATGCGCGTTTGCTTGCTAAGCAACGATCACGTCGCGCCAGCCACGCCAGGAAGCTTGTTACTGACTGTGCCGAAGGCCGCTCGTTGGCTGGTAAAATGATGTTTATTTTACTCTTTATTTTCACAGTGCTCTAAAAAGTGTTTGATGTTCAGGCTAAATAATAGCTTTGTTAGAATAGAAATCCCACTACACTTTTTAATGTTAGAATATCCGATGACATATGTTGGAGTTATAGTGTGTAATATTATAAATGCCTAATTGTATATCAAGGTGGAAAATTTTTGGGACGAATTCCACTATGAAAATTCAACGATTAATTGTGCAAAGTTACTGTAGATAACATAAACCGTCATACATTACTGATAAAATTTTATAATTTCATGTTCGTTCATCAGTAATCACTGATCACATTCATGGGCTGCATTCCTCACAGTTCCGTCCCGCCTCCTTTGATGACGCAGTGAGAATTTTCTCATATGGGGCCCAAATAAGGTCGTAAAAGTCGTCCACAACACAAGTCTTGGCCCTATAATTCGTACGTCGCTGGCCCGACGCACGAGTTTACCGTTGACGCACCATTCGTTGTTTCGACGCTCGGTGCGCACAGCTCGACCTTGTGTCGCGCCGTCCCCGTGAGCGGTAAACCACATGTGAACAGGGCAGCGTCTGACGTCACTATTGACGGTCACTGGCATGCACTTAGTACTTGGCGCTTAGTGTTGACGGTCACTGGCATGCACTTAGTACTTGGCGCTTAGTGTTGACGGTCACTGGCATGCACTTAGTACTTGGCGCTTAGTGTTTGCGATTAGTGACATGCAATTGAGCAACACTAGTACCTGGTGTTGCTCTTGACTAGAGCAGCGCCAGTACCTGGTGTTGAATTGAGTGTCTTCTGTAATTGTGCTGCAACTGATGAGTGTGTCGCCAGCGCTTAATGCTGCAAGTGCCTACGATACTCTTAATCGAAGCGAGTCATGTTAATAACTGGTTCTTTGTTTATTTTTAAGGAAAACCGGGTTTTACTGTACCGTTTGAGTTAGAATCGCAAAATAACAATAGTCTGCGGAAAACGCAATTCGATGCTACCTCACTTAGGACTAATTTTCTGTGCAGTGATGTCACTGAGCGTGTGCAGGGCAAGCTATGTCATTCGCGGCAGTTGATCTGCAGCCGTCATGGGGACGGTTAGTCGCCATTTGAGGTCCCGCTACGGCTGGGGACGGTAGCGCGCTCTTCCTCGCACGACGAAATAGATGTAATACATCAACATTTTTCAGTTGTTGAAGAATTGCATGTAATTTACAAAATTTATTTGCATGCCCATTATGGGCGTGTCATTTAGGAGCCAAGTCCGCCCAAAACCCAATCTGATTTTTAAAATCAAATTTTGATGGCAGTTTTGTGCGTGATTAAATGTGGCGTATGAACGAGCAAAAGAGCAACAGCTAATTGAATTAAAGTCCGGTATTTCTCACGAAGGCAAATCAACGCATGCATATTATGTTATTTGTTTATGGATTACACCCATAAATGAAGCTGGTAGAATAAATTTGGAAACTTCACCCTGGATATTCGCACGTGCCGTCTTAATGTTACTTATCGATTACTGAATGAATAGTGCCGTTGGATTAAATTTTAAAGTGCATATTTTGATTGTGCAGATCTCTACTGTTATACTTGAGTCACAGCTGGTAAAATTTCTACGTATAAGCGCTCCGGCAAAATAATGCTTTTGACGTAAGCCGACATGGTCGTTTCACATTTCAACACAGAAATTACGATGTATTCCAATCATTTCTGACCTGATGCTCACAGAAGATCCCTAATGACGAGATTAAAGAACCTGATGTCTTGAACGACGTACGGAGCTGAGCGACGTCTTCGCGAAATCCTTCTACAGTAAGCAGGTAAGGGTCAGATACATATAAACGTTCCCTTACGTTCCTCTATCTGCATTGCACAATGTTTCCTGACATTCCTCTATCTGCATGAGCTTATGTGCCTAAGTTCATGCGACAACGGCCCAAAAATTTTATTGAATGTATAGTTATTTCGGTATAACTTTGCCATAAATTTTATTATAATTGAATTTATACTCAAGTTCGTATATATAAACTTATAAATTTTTTCACTCTTCAGCATTTATTCTTTGTGTAAGCAACTTCTAATAATTTCTTCCAAGCAAACCTGTATAGGAGGGTAATTAATTTAAAATCAATTATATTTAAAATTGAAGACTGCCTGAAGAATTTTGTCCAGACGGTGTCCAGAACAGAGCGGTGGAACTTCGCTCTGAATAAATAGACAAGGAGACTCCCGTGCGTGGGAAAACAAGTTTGTAAACATGCCTGGCGAAATTTTGGCATAACCCAACTTGGATCGAACGACGTGTTTACTTAACTATCCCCATGTAAATGTGTATTTTTTTCTATATATTCTCTTAATTAGAGCCTAATTTTCAGAGATATTATTTAAGATTCATGATTTTATTACTCTGATATTGAACTTAATTAGTATTTCCTGTTAATATCAGATTTATTTCTTAAATTATATGGAATCAATTACATCTTGACAAACACAGAATAACATCCAATAAAGCTGCAAATCCAGATTTGATAATTTATCTTGAGAGGCAGTTTTTTCGCCATTGAAGATAATTAACTTCCGGTAATAATTTAAATAAACGAGCAATGTGCACAAGCTGGGTCGCGAGTGTAGTGGGAACAAAGCATGATTAATGTGCGGCTTTTGAACAATTGTACCTTCAATTGAGCTATTGTTCTACGAGAGTTCGTTTTTTCTTCGAATATGGAAATAACGCGAAAGTAAAAGTCTACCAGGACGGATGCTTACGTAAGAATATGCCTTTGCGCTGAGGTCGAAGGCCAGCTGTGATAGAAGGTAATCATTCATTACGGACCAGAACCTCCGATGACCTTTGAGTATTTGAATGATGACAGCAACCGGAATTGATGCATGCAGTGTCAGTGCGTTTGACATCCTAGTTTTGTGGCTCTTAGATAAAGGGGTTATCAGTAGCTGCACATTTTTTAAATCAAGCTTTGAAATTTAGATTTGTTTGGCATACGAATCTCGTGTTGTGAGTTTGCAAACCACGCATGAACGTCATTTAATTGATTATAATATTTAATGCGGATTGCACAATGAGTAGGGGCTTCATGAATTCATCAAAATGACTAAGAACTAACAGTAAATAAACTTCTTTCAAGCAAATTGTGACAGCAACATTGTATTTTTTTTACAATAAATTTTGTTTGAGCTCAATGGGTACATGCGCGACGGAATGGAGTTCTAACATATGCCGTTCACCTACAGAGACCATGCATAATAATAAATAAACATAATTCGCTCTACGCACCGTACAAGTACCAGTTTTCAAAATTTATTTATTACACTAAGCATCCTAAAAAACCAATATATTTATTCGATCACAATTTGAAAACAAATGGCGATGAGACCAAAATACTAACGTCTGCACGCGGCCGCTCAACGAACAAAGATCATTGTTGCATGAGATGAATTTATTATTTTAAAATTGGCAACTGAAAAAATTGGGACCTGAAATTTATAAAAAGAATTAACTTTTCTATGATATTTCTTAGAGGCAAAAAATATTCAATTGATGATTAAAATGCTATATTCTCTTTCTTATGATTTTACAGTCAAAGAGAAGTCTAAAGAGATTTAAAAATATATATGTTGCAGCGGAATTGTATCCTTGCTGAGTATTGGATATTACCCCACGACTGAACCAAGTGTTAAAGCATCAGAAGCAGTTTATGATTAATCTGCTTAAATGCATTTAAAAAGCTCATTATCTTCTTACTAAACGAATCCGAACGTTTTCATAAATAAAATTCTTTTATTCGATTTGTACAACAGGACGAAGCCGCGCGCCCAGCATAGTGAAAGATGCCACTGTGCATTGTGGCCGCAGCCTCGACGCCCCAAGCGTCACCATTGTTTGACAGATGTGTTTGTAGAGTGCATGATCTTACGGTGAACGAGCTGTTTGAGACAACACTGCGCACCCGTAGCGGGGTGTTTGTTCTGGCCACAAAAGTTGTCCTCCACACATTGCCTTATGGCCCATGGGTAATACCTTAAATCTCATGGTCCCGTATTAGTATCTGCGTGGACTTTATTTCAAGGCAACCGATAAAAACAAATGATTTTGTAGCGCTTATAATTTTTAAGATAGATTTTAAATATTATGCTTGTACAAGAAGATTTATGGTCCCGTGAAATTATTTTGTTATATTTGAGCTCAAAGGGGAATATGCGACGTACCCAAATTTTGGTTCCTATTAGCATCTTCACTCAGGGTTCGTAGACACGACATTTTAACAGATATTATTATTATTATTATTATAATTTAAGGATCGTTTCATATATATTTCAGAAGTGAGCTAAGCCGGTGTCCTGTTTTTGACGATGATGTCTGTCTCGTGCGTGGTGACGGCATTACAACTCGCGCTTGTTGCGTTCACGGCTATAAGCGCTTATTTGGCCGCTGTGATGCGCGCTCTTCTTATAAACAAGAGCCGGCACGGATCATAGCTTCGGTTTTTGGAGCGAGCTGGAGCCCTGCAGCTGGCTGGAATAATTGAAGCTTATAGATGTTAAATTTCAAAATAAAAAATATTAAGAAAAATATTGATGTTGCGTAGCAAAGAATATGCATTAGCGACGAAACTTGTGAACTAAAAATAAAATTATTTGCAGAAACAAATTGAGATTCGATAAATCCCAGCGTTTTAGAATGGTGGCCTGCAAATTCTAGGAAACTTTAGATATAAGTCGGACCTGTTCGCTGTGGACTAATAGTGGACAAAGTTGAATTCGGAACATGAGGGAAATACAACAGAACTTAGATCGAGGGTCGATAAGTTTGTGGAGTCGGAAGAAGGTCGTTTGAGCAGAACATTTAATCACAGTTAATAACATATAAATCACAGTTAATATAAATTAATCTGTAAAAAGTAACGTCCTATTTTCAAACAGGTAAAATTAACTATAGCTGGTAAACTTATGTTGATATATTTTTATTTTATAGCAGTGAAGACTGTTCTTATGTACTCTCAATGATTTTTTTCAAGCAATGTTATTATGGGTCTAATTATTAGGGTACAGCGTACATTCGTTTCTTTGAAACATCTCTATCTATTTTTATTCATCAATGCTAACAATACAGGTTTAATTTTTCCATCTACTTGTATATGTGTGCTCACGGAGGAGTTCGATTTATTATAAAACTCACATGAAGAAGTCGACAGGGGAGTTTGCCGACCCCTGGTGAGATCATTTTGTTGACGCAACGATCAGCAGCACGCTCAACAGCTTGTTATTGTGGATGAAGTGTTGAATATTTTACATCTGTGCTAATTAATTTCATTTACAAGTCTATAGAAAATATTCCTGACTCGTTCACAAGTGGCGGATAATAAAAATTTTGTATCGGTCATTATTTACGTATGAAAGAACCGCTTATTATCCGTAAGGGGAGAAAAAGTCAGGGAAATTCCGTGAAGTATTGAACAATCACCAAGAGGAATGGATAAAGATAACCTAGTGTCTGAGGTGAAACTGAGGCGAGTCTGGAAATATTTGATAATCTGATAGGGACAAGCAGTAACGTGTCGAGGCAAGGCAGTACAAGTGAGCGGCAGTGCAACAGAACTCTGCTCGCTATCTCATCACCCCAGACTTGTACGCTGCCGACGCTCGCTCACTGCAGTTCATGCTTCACTGATGCACGCGGCGCGAAAATCGGTTGATGTGCGACTTAGATAATAGATAATACGTGCAGTTTTTGAGTACATTTGTTTCCTGCTAGGGTGAGATAACCATTTAATTTTATTGAGTTCTGCCTACCTGTTGTCCAGGATATTTCCACTTAGGAATAATGTTTATAATGATTGGCGAATGTGTTACACGAACATTTTTCCGCAGCCTCGCTGAACTTATTGAACATTTAACTTGACTCGAATTTAATCGATTGTTCCAATAGAATTAACCATTTTCTTGTGTCATATTGAAATAACGTTTTCTTATTCTCGGATTTATTTGCCTTTCGGATTTCGAAATTATGATTATTCAAGGTAGAGTGATGGCTTGATCGCTTTGCATTAGGTATAAATTGATTTTGCTGGGAAAGTTTAACCAAGCATTCATTGATTTAACGGTTATATGAAAATCATGTCAAGTGATAGCGATGATAATTTTCTGCAATATAATTCTCATATATTTTAATATCGATGTCAGCAGACAAACAACGTTGACTACTTCAGTCGCAGTCATTGGATTAGAACACGCTCTTAACGAAAAAGAATAACAATACTCTATAATATGAATTGTATTTCGGTTTATTATTGAACACGAAGTATAGCAGTGTTGTACGATGCTTCATTTCAGAACACAAAATTTTATATCAATTTATGCATGGAACGCTAGAAATTCAAATGCGCATCCTTTTTCCTTCTCTTTCCTTAGAAAAAAATAAATAACCCGGCCACAGATAAATTACGAGTTTGATTTACATAATGAGTGTTATGTTGCATGATAGCTAGACAGTCCTAGGACAAAACAGCCAGTAATACCAAACAGTGAAAATGATTTAAAGGAGGATCACTCACACATTAAGTATGATATTAGTGAGCACCAATAATTTTTTCGTAGTTTACTAGCTTGCACACTCAAACTTTGCGGGTCAATACACTTATATTTCTAATGTTTGATGATCTTGGGGTTTTACCGGTTATGGTACGAAGGAGCGAGATTATTATGCTTTGTATCCACTCCCAGTTAATGAAATGATCTTTTTTGAGCAGGTGCTCGGTGCTAAATCCTTTTCTCCTCCTGAGGGCTGGCAATGGAAACCCCTGGCGCCTTCACCCATGAGTCTCTACCCTCTACACTCAATTCGACGCTCATCCAGTACGGCCCTTATGGTGGGTGGCTGATGTCCCGTGATCCAAAAACCGGCTTTTATCAGTCGACACGGACACACTTATTTCAGGCGATTTTATCTGAATTCTTTTTACCTATAAACTAATTGAAGCGTGTTCGTATTCCTATATGTATGTGCTTAGCGTGGCTATTTAGGTTACCGAGGTTTTTATGACCAGATTTTCCACACTCCGACGTCGTTCGTATGGTAAATTTATTTTGATTTATTTATTAACCAACGAAAAATTTTGCTGAGAGATCTAATGTTTGTTTTGCGATGTTTCAGGCACTAGTGGAACTGAACACACACTCACGCCTCCAGAGGGCCCTCGCAGCAGGGAGGCGCTGCTCCATTTCACGTTTCCGTCTCAGGAAGATACTTTAGCTTACGTCGACGCCTTGAAACACTCCGACCTCAGCCAATGGCGGTCTTTGGAGGAGGTAAGGCACGAAGGGCGAATTGAAGAGGTGGCAAGCCAAAGTTTCTTACTTCAAAATTTTAATTTTTTACATTTTAAGGCTTGACTCATTATGGCTTCTCCTACAACACCAGCACTACTTACTTCCATGTATTCTTGAGGGAGGTTGGCTCGTTACTGGTCATGGTTTGACTTATATTTCAATTACTATGGCTGAGCTGCGTGAAGAACTGGAGTGTAATTAAATTGCTTATACTGCACGCAAGTATTGTATAAATACGGTATATATACTGCATAAGTATACTGCAAGTTGGGTGATTGAAATTGATAATTCCTTGATTATAAATTTCAAGGTAAAAATTGAATATATAGATTTTAACATCTAGATTGTGTTGGGTCAGATCTTTTTTATATAAATTTATCCAGTTATCAGAATCCTATTAGTGACTTGGAATCTTAAATAAAGTTCTTAATACCAACATCTCAAGAAGATTGAGCTGCCTCATTTGTTTTTTACTTTTCCACTAATAAGACAAGTGCTTGACGAAGAAGCTGGTCATATGGAGGTTATATAGGTATATGCCTAATGAAACAATTCACTATTGTCTAATGCTATGTAGATTAAAACTAGCAATGTATAGATATCCTACTATTTCCTCCGTAACACAGAGAATGGTCATGGCTTTCAACCATCATTAGGATTTGTTTCACGCGAACATGTACACTGCGGCAGGCTTGCGGACGATTGAGGCGGACTCAATTCAACGGAGTTCTCTTCCTCAGGTGGCAGCTCGGGCAGGAGGTGGCAGCTGCTCAGGAACTGTCAGCACCTCAATGCTGACCGCCCTATACCTGCTTGGGCTCTTCAATCTGTGCACGACATCACCCAATTCCTGCTGCATCCCACCCGCTGCTTCTAGAAGGAGAAGGTGGGTGCTTGAACTTTCACTTCACTAAGTGGTGGATTGATCTCGCTTCCATTTGTGCATCGATTGATCAATTAACGTTCCACTTCCTGATGAATGCTAACATTACCTGGTGAAGAAATCGTAAAATTGGTACTAATTTTTTTAATTTTCGAGTCGCAATATATCGTTTTTTCTAGAATTCAGATAATGGTGGAGAAATTTAGAATGGGGCATTAATTTATTATTCCCCAATGCTGTTCTAAAACTCTCATAGCATTTTGATTGTGCAATTGTCCTTGTGCCTTCATAAAATAAACTAAAATAAAACTAAATAAAATAAACTAAATAAAATAAACTTTAATAAACATACTGGCGCTTAATTAAATCTATTGCTTTCAAAAATAACAGGAACGTGGTAACTCAGCTACCGCCCCTTCTAGACGCGCTGCATCAGAACTTGACGACAGTGAGGACCGAGCGCTGGCCGCCCGACCTGCCGCACCTGAGCCCCCCTGAGCACGCGATGAGAGGGGGCGTCGTGCCTCTACATCTCGGCGTCGTCGAGCAGGTCCTGATCTTTTTAAAGGGCCTTGCCGTGGGCTCCGGGTTACTGTTGGATGGAATCAAGTATCGTAGGAAATGAACATCGTATAAGTGGCCTTACCTTAAGGTCATCTCCGTGATATGAGGTGTCCTTTGATGGAAATTCTGCATCGAAAACACCTGTAAAGAATAAGTTTAAAAGTTTTTATGCTTAATTTGTTCGCCAGAAGATGAAGGGAACAATAATTTTTAAAATATACTAGAGGGTGAAATGATGATTTCCATTTTACGTGTTTCGATTCAATCTGCTGTTAAACATTCTGTATATTTCTCTTTGCTTTTGAATAGATGCTGATACGTAATCTCTGAGTGTTTATTCTCAATCACATGATAAGATAATTAATTTTTTCCAGGTGCGGCAATTATGGAATTCGAACCCTCGTCTCTTGTCAAACGTTGCGTGTCGCACGGCCACAGAATCCGTGCGATCGTCATTTATTTCCCTGAGCGGCGTGGCGTCTGGCATCATCCTAGCCTACAGCGTGGCGCAGCTCAAGCAATGCTACCCTGACTTCAGTGCCAACGCTCCCGATGCCTCGCCCAACATCTGGTTCTTCCCACTGCCCAAACCCGAGCAAAAGAACGAGTCGAAGTTCCTGGTTCCATCGCTGCCATCTGTGATCCCTGTGCCCGGTGCGTCTGCAGTTAGATGTTACGCAGGCCGACTTGTGTTCGGTCCTACAAGTGCTGCGACACATTTTACAAAATTTCGTGTTTAGTTCATATGCAAAAATTTCAGTTATTTCTCAGCTGTGAAAGGTGTATGGTTAACACAGTACAAGGAGGCAGAATAGGGATCGAGGGAGTCAGTTTTAGGTAAACGATGGGAAGAGAATAGCAAATCGAAGTTATATTATGAGCTATTGCAATTGTAAAGTAAGTGAATTATTTTATTATTGATGTTAATGTGTTAATATAACAAGAGTCTCCGTGCTGCAGGTGACGACGAACCAAGCGATGGGTGCGAGCGCAGTGAGGTGATGCTAGAGGACGGTCGATGCGCTCCCTTGCTGTCCACTCTGCACTGTCCCTACCAGCACTGGGTGCTGCTTAACAAAGATACCAGTAAGGTGTGGTAACCTTGAATGTTCAAAAAATACACTAGGGAGGTGCTGTAACCTCGAGGGTTCAATAAAGGCACCAGGCAGGTCTGGTGACTCCGAGGGCTCAAACCAACGCGTCAGTGGGAATGATGAGGAACATTTCCTCGTATCGGAAATGTGAAAATATCTGATCGTACTGCCGAAATTGTGGAAAAGTGGTGATATCTTTAACTATTGTCAACAGCATAGGTACAGATGCATCTACACTCAGCATGATTATAACGTTGTAAGTAAAATAATGCAGTCTGACGAGGCTTGATCAAATGTGTGTGCAGTTAGCAGTGCAGAGAAAAACAGTTCGCGATAAAGAACCGATTAATTAGGACAGCAAGAGAACTTGTATGAAGCGAACGTAATATACGTTGCGGTAACATGTCTTGTAGAATAATAGATTTTGGTTATTTCCGAAGGATATCATTCGTTAGGAGTAGATGAGTTGATTATTGGCTGAAAGTTGTATATGTTCAATCATGAAAATTTTTGGAAAATTAATTGTTCCTTTCTTATCTGAGTTCTCAAACAGACAACTCGTGTGTATGGCTAGTAATATCGAATACTTTTTAGATTGATACACTTGACCTTGTTTGCGATTCATTATTGATTAATGGAGTTTGTGTGCATACGTCGAATTACTCAACGAGTTCTCCATATTCATTAATGATGCAAAAAAATTTTCGTATTCTTTCATCATAGCTACTGACTTCATATTACTGAGCATTATAGCTCAAGTTTAGCCAGATGAATAAATATCAATATATTAAATAACAATTTATACTAAATGTTACTGTGCAATAAGTGTTAATACGTAAAAAATACTCGCGTCAGGGCGAGTGCGTGCCCAGGCTGTGTGGCGACGGCCGCGTTTACGTCGAGAGAGACGAGCTCTGCCACGACGTCAACGAGCACGGCATCTGTGCGCACTCTCAAAGACTGTACCTTGACGCCTTTGGTGAGCGATAGTATCAATTGAATACTTGATATTGTTCATAGATAGATTTGTAATAAGTACATTATTGTAAAATATTCTGCATTAAATTAAACTTCTTTTCAGGCATATGTGTAATATTGGTTATAACTTTTTCAAGATGCTTCCACAATTTGTCGTAGAGGAGAACTGTAAACACAAAATATCTAAATATTTCAAAAATTTCACTAACGAAATTTGGGCTGTGGCTGTGCAGGGAAGGCAGTATGCGACTGTCCCGATGGTATGTACCACGGACCAGGGGGGCGATGCTACACCCTCTTCGACCCCGCGTACTGCGCGCACGGCACTGTGCTTCAGTTCCACCAGGCATCCAAGTCTGATATGCATATTATTATCAGCTTCTACAGTACTTAGTAACAGCTTTGTTGATTACTTACAGTACTTATATTATTGATATTGATTACTTACCGTAATTATATTAGTACTTATAGTATCATCTTTATTTATTAAATCTAATCAATTTGCGAGATTGCTTACGTCATAAGAATTGCATTGACTTGAAAGCAATTCCGATAAGATTAAAAAGAGTTGAGTACAATTAAAAGGCACCATTTTTCGAAATATTTTCTAGAAGAACTTCTTTCATAAAATATTGTGCGAAATAAAATACTATTTATATCATTACCATGTAATATTAAATAATTTATGATGATACTTTGAGGAATAATTGTTCGCTGATAATTGATTGACGATGTTTACACTTGTTCGCTTGCCCCTGAGGACTTTGATGTGTGGTCAAGATCCCTGCGGTCACGTCAACTCCAACCTCTGGCCTGAAGATCTACCGTTCGCCCCACGAGAAGATGGCTTCTGTTACCAGTTCAACGAAGTAAGCTCATAAAATAGGTAGTCACATTCAAATATATGATTCCTAGTTATTTATTTTATTTACTTCTTTTATTAAATGTTGAATTTATTCGTGCCAAATGGCTTTGCTAGTCGAGCTACTGTCGATATTCTAACGGACTATCTAATTTTACAAAAACCCGGAACCGGAACCAATATTACTCGGATATAAATCTTTTCAATACTCTCAGATAATACTAGAACAGAAATATCTGAAGTAATGTGTTGAATTATAATCTGTGTTTTCACACAGCAAGGTCCGTGTGGAGTTGGTGAACGCTTCGGTTTTAACACGGAGTCGTTGCGAGCTGCATGCGTGTCGTTGATCGAAGCGGGGATTGTAAGACCAAAGAGATCATACTTGTATCATCACATGTCCTACCCCTCCATCTCTAGCCATCCGTCACAGCATTATCAGGTTCCATCTACATTAAAAGATACTCAAATCAGTTTTGCGTTGTCTGTAAGCTTTGGATGAGGTTTACAGCATGCAGATTAGTTAATTAAAACATTTAGAATAATTCTTTTGCCACCTGAATTGCTCCAATTTACAATAAGAAAAAACTTTTGTATGAATAAACAATGCAAAAAAGTTCTATGTAATTATGAATAGATATTAAACTGGCCTACTTATACTCCAGAAATATCAATGTTTGATACAAATTTCATTCCAGCAGTAGTCTCATTCGACATCATTCCCTTATCTTCAGGTATCGTATGTTGTGGTGAACGGTAGCACATGGGGCCTTGAGGTGAAAGGGATTGGTCGGGATCGGAGGCGATCTCGAGATGTGAGTGATGAAGATGCTGATGTGAAAAAAGTACCTTTCATCGATACTCGAAGAATACCAAGAAAACTCGAGACTTTGTTGTCAGGTGTATATTCTACGGGCGAAAATATAGCACACGCCTTGAATTTAGATTGCGATGAATATGACGACGATCTTGAGTACGATGATTGCGAGCAGCTCATGAATGAGGCTTCTTACGTTGATGAAAACTCAGATGGGTTCTTGAACGATCCCAAATACGTTATTGAGGCCCGGGAGTCGCATTTTACGAAAAATTGGGATGATCCTATGGTCACTGAATCAGGGAAAGCCTCATCCGGGGCAGAAATTTTATCGAACGAGGTGACCGTTACGCAAACAAGTGCAGCCCCACTGAGCGAGAAACACAAAAAACGACAGTTGGTTCAAGAATTGATGCGTTTTTCTCAAGAAAGTTTGGAATCGGATATTCACACTCCGCTTGTTAATTTTCCAGCCACTCTCAATTCTTCAGAAATGTCTATATTAAATCCATTGTTGAGTGCAAGTGAGCTCTTTGGACGTCCTTTGAATATCAGCTCACCGACAGAGAGCCCTGTCGACTCCACACTACCAACGTTGCCGTCTTCTTACATCCCTGATCCATCGACGGCTGAAAGTATCATCAAACGCCACCTGACACCAAGGCTCAGAATCGTCGACACTCTGAGTCATCCCAGGAGACTGAAGCAGCCTGAGAGACGCGTGGGTCATGCCGCTAGCGTCAACTCTGGAATCTTTAGAGTGACTCCTACGATTGAGGACAACTCGCGGAATAGCCTCAGTTATCATCTGGATAAAGTGTTGCCTGAAGTCAACGCTGGTGAAGTGCTCAGAGTTGACCAGAACGCTGGTCAGCTTTTCTCATCATCGACCCCATCGCCTGCTGAATTAGGATCATCTTCCCAGCTAGGAGTCCTCAAAGTAAGAAAGCATTAGTTACAGTTTAATTTTAAGATTTTAATTGGGGAATCGGGGAATCTGATTTAAATTAAAATGGTGTAGATATGATTCATTTAAATATTGTACTTTTGGTGCTGCAATTTTTTTATTCATGTCAGGGAAGAATTTTCATATTAGTTTATCCATTGTTAAATTTGTTTCACAATATGCAACTCGGCTGTGGTTCGGTCTTCTTAGCCAAAACAATATTTAATTACTAATATATTTTTACACTAATGATCCCATTTCAGGTAGATCAAAGTCTGCTGGTAGTACCGGAACACTCTTCGATTCCGTCTGCTGTGCCGATTTCTACAACGCAGACCACAACGATGGATAGCTTCGCAGAGAAAGCCACAACCCGACGTCGCGGTGACATCACTGTGGTGACTCACCGCAGTCGTCGAAGAAAGTCAAGGAGAAACAGACGCAGGAAGCATCCTCCCAGAAGACACAAGCCTAGAAGACGAAGGCAAAAGATTAAAGTTCCAAGCGCTCGCAAAAACCCAAACCTTCCAAAAAAAGTTCCGGTCTCAATCGTTTCCAATTTTAGTTCGATTACGACCGATCAATCAACTGGAACTATGCCATCACCTGAAACTACGGAAGACGTCGTTACTCCCACATCGGCTTTCACTAAATCAGAAATTTCTGAATACTCGATTTCTGAATTTACAATTACTTCTGAAACAAATTTTCCATCGTTTTCTTCCATTTATGTAGATACTCCTTTGACTTTGACGACACTTGGCCCTTCGACTGACTCCGAGTCTCCTGTTGAGCATGTCACAACAGTTCCCATTGAATCTCCAAACCTCAAAACAACCTCCAAAAAACCAACTCAAAAGTCCCGGCGAAACAGGTTTGGAAGTCGACATAAAAATGCAACAACACAGAGAACAGGAGGTGGACGTCCATCGCTGTCTCTCACAGATCTTTGGCGTCATCGTGATAGGCGTCAACTCACAGGAGGAGGCGGCATCATCCAAGCACCTCTCCTGAGCGCCTGCAAACCTGGGGCGAAGAGAGACTACAATTACAAGTGCAGGCCTAAGTTTATCCCGCAGCAGAGAAGCACAGACTCTTCTGACAAGAAAGAAACAGCTGCTGCTCCAGTTCCACCGAGAATTAAATGCCCGACAGTGCGTATTTTATTGGTTTAGTAACTTTAGTTGATAAATATGCTGCCGCACCAATTGCGCCTGGACAATAAAGTGAGGTATAATTTGTTCACAAAGTTCTACTTAATTTGTGAAGTGAAATTTTTATTCATTTTTTGTACTTGACTCACAAGGAATATATACTAAATAATCTATTATTTTTCAGGGCACGCACCTGGATCCTCGCGGGAAATGTCAAGCAACTTCCAATATTTTAGGCTAAACTTCATGACGCTCGTGCCTGACACTAATGATTTTCATCACAGTATCATCATGATCGTTTAGTGTTGATGTAAAACTTTACATCAACATACATAAAACTACTTTACATATACATAGCGTAGTAAGTATTCTCTCCTGAGTGGGAAAATATTCGTTTCTAGCTCTGAAGCCGCGTCTATTATTACATTACGTCAATGGTTCTTGTTGCTTTAATGCTTCATGACGTTGTAATATGAAAGCTTTCCCAAGCTTTCTTGCAGATTTAATGAAAGAAAAAAAATTATATTTGTTGACTGAATTATGAAGAGAATAATTTCGACTGTTAGTTGTGATTATTGACTGATACGTTAAAAAGTTATTAATGTTCTTAATCAGACGTCGAGGATGAAGTGAAAAAATTTTTGTTGTGTTATTCTAAAATTACGAATGGTTGTGCTGTAAACTGACTCATCTACGGCGTGTTCAACGACCGTAGAAATTATATTCAAAACCGTTTTTACTTATGAAAACGAATTAATATAAGTTTTGTTGGTTGATTTGAAAAATTATTTATTACTCACTTTGCGGATATGGTCATGCATTGAGGTTTGAATTGAACTCCGAGCTAAAGTAATTCTGTCACCGTAAATGAGACTCTATTTTTTAAAAGGAAAACTTACGTGGAGCTAGAATTCTTGGAGAGGCTAAATCTCGTTCGAAAAGATAAGTCTGTTAAATTTTGATATGATATGATATTTATATATCAACATGCGATATCCAAATAATCATCTACTGCGATTTTCGAAATGGTAATTGATTGGCTCGATAATATTTTCATCAGATTTCACCATTTGAGATACATGTACTAACAATAAATAATATATTTGATGAAAAAATCTCAAATAAAATGCCCTGTATTTGCCTAAACTAACTTGATTTTCAATTTTCAAATTTAAACTTGCATCGCAAAAATCTCAAAATCTCCTTGTAGAACACAATATTAAATGGATTTTTCTTGTAAATATCAGTTTTTCATAAACTAATTTTCTAGTAATTTTTCGCTTCTTACAGTGTTGTTTTGCAGCAATTTTTATTCAGACTAACTTTTTCATTCACAAATTTATAAGTCAACGTCTTCTTAGGAATTACGTTGGAAAGATCATGACAATCCCTGACGACTCAGAATGACTGGCACTTCTCATCTTATTCCAAACCGACTGATAGTTGTCTGCAGGCATGATATGTATTTTTATTTAGTGAGACAAAAGCGACTGCGTCTGAAAACGAATGTAATGGAGGCATGTTGATCCAGCTGCACGAATAAATAGCCATTTCATGATTGTTATGAAATTGTAAAGAGTTTGTAAATAAATTTGTTTGAAATATGGATTTGATTTCACCGTAAATTAATCTACTGTATGAACGAGATAAGACTTGATAATAGGCCTAAGTGTGAGGATGCAAGTCATTCTTCAAAGATGAAGCGGAGTGGAACGCGTGTCGCACGTTCTGCGGATGCTGGTCGATATTGCCTGTACCGCATCGCTGGCCAAACACAAGCGATATGTGCCACCTCGATCGGCGGTGGCCTGCATCGGCCTTACTTCAGGCTCAGGACTTTACAAGAGGTTTTTTGTAATGAACATTCGTATTTTAAAATATTCTCAGGACCTTCGTTGAAATATCAAGATATGATGTGATATTCAATATACGAACTCAATTCGCCCTTTATCCATTTTAATATGAAAGAAGTCGTGAAGCACACAAAAAAATAAATAAATAAACAGAAAAAGGGCACAAAGGAAAAATCAGCAATAATTTTCATTGAGCCAGAATAAAATATTGAAAATGATTATAAATAATTATACATTATTAAAAGTAATTTGGATATGCTAACTAATGCGCTGCAATACGATGCAATTTTGTTCATCAACGTCCATCAGCATTTATAGTGCACGTAGTTCAAGAATTCCCTTTCAGAGCTGCACGCTGCACAGTTCTGATGTTCAGCTCACGCTCTTCTGAGCTGCATGCTGCACAGTTCTGATGTTCAGCTCACGCTCTTCTGAGCTGCACGCTGCACAGTTCTGATGTTCAGCTCACGCTCTTCTGAGCTGCATGCTGCACAGTTCTGATGTTCGGATCACGCTCTTCTGAGCTGCATGCTGCACAGTTCTGATGTTCGGCTCACGCTCTTCTGAGCTGCATGCTGCACAGTTCTGATGTTCGGATCACGCTCTTCTGAGCTGCATGCTGCACAGTTCTGATGTTCGGCTCACGCTCTTCTGAGCTGATGCTGCACAGTTCTGATGTTCAGCTCACGCTCTTCTGAGCTGCATGCTGCACAGTTCTGATGTTCAGCGGATGTGAGCAAGCCGCTGTTCTCGGTTTTATGTCCACTAAAGAGATCCCTAAACAACTCTTACGGAATCGACTTCAATTCCATTTCCATTCTTCTTGGAGCCGTCAGGCAGGTCGTATTTTAGGCGCCGGGCTGCAGCCAACGTTTCATACATTAGACACAGCTTTCTCTAGGGCACCTTCACGTTCGTGGGAAAATCCTGTATTTTCTATTTAACACAAATATTTCTAGTTCACAACAATTTAACAAAAAAACGGCTTCAATTTTGCATGACTCATTAGAAATATCGAAGCAGTTCACGGCACATTATATTTATAACTGTAATTATAACAAAAATTTACAGGAATCGGCAAAAGATCATAAATCCTTGTAGTTGTATTTCAAAGAAGCCAATTTCTGTTTTATCGAGCCATAAAAGAGCTGATCAATGCGTGTTTTGAGAGCTTTGAGAAAACCATAACTCGTGTTCAGTGGTTTGTGTTGATGATGCTAACCACAGATGACGTTAGCCTACTGAAATCGAAATGATAAGTCTGATGGTAGTTATGTGATAGGTCTGATTGAAATGATAGGTTTGATGGTAGTTATGTGATTGGTCTGATTGAAATGAAAGGTTTGATGGTAGTGATTCTATGACGCATCATAAGCCGGCGCATTTAAGATTACTGTTATTTTACTGTTATTTAGCTGGACTTTAGACTCCGATAAGCATAGATAAATCTTCAATGTGAGAAAAAACGGCCGTTTAAAAGTTATGAATATCTAGCATAGCTGAGTTGCTGGAAAATATAAAAGTATTTAATTTGAGGAATAATGGTGGAGACACAAACTAGCTTTGACGGACGTAGATTCTCACTGCTACCAAATATATAAATTATTTGTTTCCAGTAGCAAAGAAACGGCAAAATTTAGTTACTATGCTGAAAGTATAGGCTGTATCAAAAAACCTCTCATGTAGGTTCCACAGATAATGATTCTTCTTGTCTACGAGTCGAAACTTACCCAAATTTAATCCCGATTTTGTCTAAGTAAACAGAATTCGTCAAAGGTAAGAGACAACTACGGCGCAGAGGTAGGCACGGATGTTAGATCCTGCACGAGGACAAAGAAAAACCTAATTTAAAAGCCATTACGAGTAACCAATAATGTCCGAAAGTTCAACATTGCCTTTGGGTATTTTGCACGAAAAAACACAAAAACTACCAAAGCCGATAACTTGTTTTGTACCATTAACTTTTACCATGCATTGAAGTTCCCAAATAAACCTCTTAGTGTACAACAACACCGTTTCATAAACAGCTTAGAACTCTGCAGGACGAACTTTTCTTCTTTAGTCCACCATAGTTCGTTGCCGACGACCTAATGCACAAGCTACTCATGAAGAGCACAAGGTAGCTCGAGCGGACCGTCAGGAGGAGATTGAACAAAAGTTGGGCAGTGTTGGCGGCCGGTGTGGCTTCTATTATAGCGCTGATCCTGGCGAGTAATTCACGGCATGCTGGACTCATAAATCTTAACCGCCAACGGCTTGATCCGCCGCCGCTGCTGCTGCTCTTGCCAGCGTCTTGCTGCCGTGCTGCCCGCTGCACGCTCGCTCCATTCCCGAGTTGCTAACATTCTTTTTGCACAGAAAGCTTAGTTTAAATAAAGGTTGCATCCGAATGTTTTAATTTTGGCGGCATTCATCTTATTCAAAAAGTTTAAATATTCTTATTCTTCTTAGTTTAAATAAAGGTTGCATCCGAATGTTTTAATTTTGGCTACGTACATCTTATTCAAAAAGTTGCATAACGACGGTAATTTCTTAGTTGCTTAATAATAATAATTTTTTAATTTTAGCGTAATCAACCGTGGTGTTGAGAAAGTGGCTTTTACGAGAGCGAGTGTTGTTATGAATAAAAGTCATAATAACAGTCAGGGAGAATCACATACCAAGAGAATTGTAAAAATTCAATGTCTGACAATGTTGTCAATAGTGACTAAGAACAGTATTTTTAACGGTAAAATAGCAAGGACCACGACTGTGGTCACCAAGGTCACTGTAAACTGTATTATCATGAGCAAGTTATTGAAAGAAAGTTAAATAGAGGTAAATTATTGTATTGCCTATAGCAGAGGCAAAAGTCTTCTTCACACAGTAGATTGTAAGCGATCGAAAAATAAACAATCCTTTTAGCGTGTCTAAAAGTTAGTTATGACAAAGCCACCTAGTTTCCAGCTTAGGAGGCCTGTTCCAGCTGTTATTGAGCATCGGAAGCGTTTCGCTTGGACCGCGCAGCTGGCTGAAGATTAGAGCGTCCCGATCTCAATATCTGCAAGTGCTTATTGAAGAGGCCATTGCTGTCAAGAGTTTGTGGCGAACTCAAGAGAGTTATTTACAACTCCAGGGAGCACGGGAGAATCTTAATGAATTAATTGAAAGATAAAGAACTCCTTTAGATATATAATATCGATTGCCTTATAGAAAAACTTGATGACTCTATGCAGCCTGTAATAGTATTTCTAAAACCGTACCTTCTCGTGGGGGAAAATAGGTTACACTCGCTTGTTCGAAATGGTTTGATGAAACGGATGAAAACATTTTTAAATATTCCAAAGTTACAGAAAAAAATTAGCAATTGACTACAATGTAGGGAGATTATCAATGTCGAAAATACCAAATAATTGAGAGAAAAAGGCATGTAGAGCCCAGGTCTTTTAATAACGAAGGCGTGAACAATCGAACACCTCCAGTAAACAATTAAAAGTTACTATTGTAAATTGGATTGGGTCAACACTCACTCGTCACTGTGATCACTCAAGAAAAGCACGTGGTTTGCACTCCGGTTTACTTTCATTCCACAATCAGGATCAACGAGAATAATGCATGGCAATTAAATAAGTCTTTACTTTAATTAACTTTGCTAGATATTGCAAGAAAGTAGATAGCCCAAAGTAGATTCCAGCTGGTAATTTAGATGAACTGAAAATTTAATGTTCCAGCAGGGCACTTTCAAAATCATTCCTTCAAGGATTTATTTGTTTGAAAATTACTTATATTGAAGAGGTGTTGGATTAAACGTATATTATTGTCAGGTATTAGACTTAGACTTTTATTAATAAATATGTCGTCAATTCAGAATTAGCGTTAGAATGTTTGAATTGTAGAATTGTAAGAATGTTTTAGAGAATATTGAAACTGTGAGAAAAGGTGGAAGTAGGAACGGATTGAAAAAGGTGGAAGTAGGAACGTGGTCTTGAAAGCAGCATCTTGTGGTTCGTAAAGATTGTCACTTGGACAGAATTTTAACAGATGCCCATTTGTTGTGCTACAGTTCTCCTGTGTGAAGAAAATTCTTAATGTAATGTGATGTCTGGTGCAATAAAGTATTTTTACTGTAACCGTGATTTAATGAACATTGAACCTTCCACTATACCCACGACAACATAATTTGTGAAGAAAGTCTTTTCGAGCGCGTGATAACAACGATTCAGCTTCTATTTCACGTCTCCTGTAGCTTTCTGTCCTGTGAGACCTTCGCCCATAATGGAAAAAATTCAAGACCGAACCTGAAGATTTCATAGAATTTGACCTTTTAAATTTTAGTATCAGGCGTCAGTCCAACGTATCACTGTTCATGTTGCAGATGCGTCATAGAAGAGCAATGCTTGCTTGCTAGCTGCTATATAGGCACGGAAAAAATTTTGCCACAGTACTTGAATGCAATAAAAATTTTCTACGCGAATCATTTTTTCAACTTGAAGATCACAAATTGGAAATAAGACTAAACAAAACTAAGTATGTTGTTATTAAATTTAACGAAAATGAGCGCATGGCTCTATAGAGACATTTTTCAAATCAATCTATCGAGATCCTAAATAATTACAAGTGAAATGCTTAATAAAACAACTTCCATATTTTAATTCAGTCAATCTTCCATGCATGTCTTTCCTTGTATAGTTATATTATGCCGCAGTTTACACTAATATAAATAATTCGCTTACGAATTATTCGCTGTAATTTCGTTCGTCATTATTTTAT